CCCTAGTTTTGTCAGTTGGAGTTCGAACTCCTTTGTGTACCTAGCAAAGCGAGATTATCTAGCTATCGGAGGGTAAGGTTGTCTGTCAACTTGCGCTTCTAGAAGTAATAGGAAAATGAAGAGGGTTTATAAAAGTTTTAACAGAAAATTTTACTGAACGTGTTTTCCTTGTATTTGTTACATCATTTTATTCTTTTTAGTATCTAACATATTATTATCTTCCGACGAGTAAATTCGTTAGTATATTTGATTACTGTGCTATTTTTTTCTATCTATCATACTTTGACGATAATTTAAAACAATTACACATTACTATTATAAATAAAAACAATGTTAGTTACATTATATAAGCGTCTAATTTTAGCTCCATAATTTTCAACGAAGTTACCAACTAATATCCAATATAGTTTGGCTTTACAAACTATAGCACCGAAATGTCGTGTATTGATTTTTTATTATAATAATTGTTAACTTGGTAGCATAAGTGAGACAGATATCCTTCATTTTTAAATTATTTGTTTTAGATGATTGATTGTGTTGCATTCAATCATCTAATCACTGAATATCCACATCAATGAATTTCACCAATCACTGAATATCCACATCAATGAATGTTTGCAGAGTGAAATTTTGTTTTTATTTTTTTAAAAAAACGTCTCCGAACGATTCCGATTTGATAAGAAATCTCGCATCTAGAACTCTCCCCTTATTATATTATACAGGCAATAAGTCCTAGAAATAATATAAAATATTATGCACTATCCATCTCATTCATATTCTGTTGCAGATTAGAGAAAGACGGGTATACCTCATTCGCAAGGGTGTGAAAAGGGCAGTAATAAAGGGTAGCGTTTCATGAACATTTGAGACATTACGACGGATCGTTAGAGCAGTAATAGGCGTTTGTTTTAGTGCCTATTTCTTCATGACAGTGGCCGCCTATCTGCCATGAGGAGCATTTACCTCTTTATGCGCCCCTAACAATCTAATCGTGGACACAGAGATATTCAGCGGTACATTCCACTCCGGATAGCGACCGCCGTATGAACTCCGAGATAGAACTAAAAGATTTTATAGAATAAAATGTAAAAAGATTCTGTCAACCAGGTTTTAACTACATTTCAAAATATTACTATAATAATATTTCATTGGTGTATTAGATCTGTAATTATGCAAAAATATTACGATAATCGCGTAATACGCGAAGAATAGGATCGTTGCTATATTCTTCATAAAATCAACAAGTCGATAAAACTTATGCATAAACGTGCCTTTGGCCAGATTATTATGTAAAGGAGCTAATATTTACAACACTTTGATATTCACAGTCGCCACGCTATAGTCGTAGTTGGTCGGCTAGACCTCGAACCCTCTCAGGGCCCGTAATCTAGAAGCATCACCAATGTCACCATTTGCATTTTATTGCCAAAGTTTCTAGCCGCAGAACGCCTATTTTTATGGTAAACTTATTCAAATGCACGACGACGTCATAAATTGGGTAAAGGGGTGCGCTGGCACGGCAGGCACAGAAAAACTTTACGAATACCGATCATACCTCGATGGACAGACGACACTTTTGTCATGCCATTTTTGATGGGCCCGTTTAAGAATAAGGGTGGTTCTTAGGTTAGCATTTTATTTTATTAAATTGTCTGTTTGAAAGACAATCGCATTTTTACTTTCAGCACCAAATGGTGTGTTATTTATATTTAACGTATAAGTAACATAACTGCTGACTGTGAGAAATTATAGTTGTAATCACTGAGAAAATCGATCCAATTTTGCTTTCAGGCGTTTGGAACGACATAAAAACGAACAACAATCATAGCGTGACAAAGGCTAATAACAAATAAATCAAACGTACAAAAAGTCTTGCCCCGAGACACTAATTCGCGAACGATCGCCTTTTGACATAAAAAGTAAGGCAACTGAACTTGTTTATTGTATAAAATCCTTTGAACTCCCGTAACTGGTACCCATGATTGATATTTTGACATTTCACAAATGAATTTCCGCGGGATGATAGACAAGTAACGAAGAATACCTAACAAGTAATAAAGCAATCGACTCAAACTTTTTTAATTAAACCTCGACTACCACACAAAGTTTATTTCGGTACTTAATTCAACACCACCGTCGAAAATTTTATGTTAAAATAACGTGATTTAAGCCAGGCCATTATTTTTAAGGCGATGAATATTGCGTTTGTATTATTTTACGTTTTAATGAAACATTGTAATCTGTACAAAATCATTTTATTTTTATCTTTCATGTTCTGGGAAAGCGGTTTTACACAAATTAATAAATGATAAAACGATTATTGGATTTGCTTTCATTCCAACGGAAATATAAAAATCATTTTTGTTATAAAATGTAAAATGACTGAAGTTGAAACTTTGACTAACATTGGTAGTACTTACTTACTGAGTTAATCACAATTAGTGCCACTATTCTATCTTCGTAATAAATAAAATATTCAGAGTTGAATTAACCCGTCGCCGTCGCCTGCTCGTGAACTATAACTATTAATTTTCACAGTACATTATAAAACACCTTTATAATACTAGCATGCTTTTCTCTTTTAATCTTCTGCAGGAAAACGTGGAAAATTGCAATTAAGACCACAATGACACGAGAAACTTTCCTTCATTAAAATAAAACTCACCCACACAGTACGTGGGCGACTTATTAATCAACGGTCCAGTCAACATGACGGTTTTGATCCAGAGTCGGTATACCCGACATAATGGAAGGAAAAGCTACCGATTTTCTCCCACTGAATGAAAATCAATTTCCTACAGTTGGGAAAATTCATTTATCGACCACCTGCGCTCCGGTGCTCGATCAAGCGGAGACCAATACAATGGGCCCACCGTCTAATCTTAAGAAAGGCGCTTTTAAAACATTGTTGTCAGAGATTACCAACGTATAGAAAAGTCTATGAATCAAGTCGAGGTATTCCAGACGCTTTCATTGTCACAGAACATACCAGTATTGATGAAGTTTCGACGTCCATCAATCCGGCTTATTCATGAAGTCAGCCCCTCGCTCGTAACGAATTCATTTTGTACAACTTTCATAATAACTGGATTTAATGCTTATAAACTGTTTCACAAACTTTACGGTACTAGTAAGCTGTAACTAGTTGTTGGGAAAAGAATTTTTGTTTACTGTTTATGTAGGAATGTATTTAAAACCCGGAAAATTTTAATTTCATCTCACAAAATAATATAAGTTAACAAAATTAGGAGCAGGTTCTCTAGCAGTATTATCTAAACTGTAGTTTATGAAAAGCTTGGGGGACATTAATATTAATATTTTACATAAAACAACACAACGGTGATCGTGAAGCAGTCGTAGAATTTCTATTACACTAAGTGCTCATAAATTTCCCGTTTACCTAGACTGATACCACAGATATAATGAGATAGCGCCTTTATCTCGCAGCTCAGTAATATTTTTCAATAGAACTAATGCGATTTTATTCCAATCTCGTTTCCTTTTCTACTTTTGTTCACCTAACAAGTATAATTCAAATCTAACGTGGTAATCACTTTATTGGCTATTATTTATTTGTATTATCCGATAAATAATGGCACCTTATTTTTATTCATATATTGGAGTATTGTAGAAATATTTAGTACCCACATTTATTTTAGGATATAAGACATTTTCAAGTTCTAGTTCCTAGGTTTTAAAGCAAAGGAAATAAGATCATCGAACCAAATATTCTTCCAAAACATATCGAAATATATTTTTAAAGAACCGTCACTTAGTAAAATTGTTATTTTCTTGCATCAGCTGTGTGTTAACTTGATTTAAATAGTTGTGGACGACTGAGAATGCTATAGTGACAAGCAATGTATCGCGGGTAGACTTGAAGTGTCAAAGTTTCGTTAGTGGTGGTCTCGCGTTGGTAAACTAATGCGACGTAAACGTTATAACTGTCAAAGTTATTATTAGCCGTCTGTGTTACAGTTTGCGAACGTTTTCGTCAGCGGTATGTTACAGTTACAATGATTTCAATTTATCCAGTGCCCAAATTGTATAACACAATTATAGTTCGACACTCATGTTGGAAGGAATGTCATCTATATTGACTATACGTATCGCTATAAAATTCTGTGTTTGCTGTTTACGAATTTATGTAGTTATTTTGTTGTTGACTTTTGAAGTGATTTTGATTTAGTTTCATAATTTATGTTGTAGTTTTGCATAGGTATCCAACGTTAGTCAATCCGTTTTTAGAACAGAAACATTGATTTCTATTTGACAATCATATGAATTCGCGATTACAAAAAAGAATTGTTTAATCTCTTATTTGATAATTATTCACTTTTACGTATATATGTGGATTGTAATGGCAAAATGTATTTAAAAAAATACTATGTCTTATGTAGATATGTTACAACAAAAATTCCACGCTATTTATTTTTAAATAAAATACGCCTTATTAACATCAGTGCAATTATAAAATAAATTAATGACGAACCGCTCACGTCTTTAATTAAACGTACAGGGCGTGCTCAAATTGGTGACATGTTTATTTCCTTGAGTGATCATACAGAACTGACGTTATCAATTTAACTGGCTGACTGTACCTTGAGTCTTTAATTATCGATTCTCAACTAGAGGAGCACTGAGCCGTTAAAGTACTTTTCATTTAACAAAGCACTCTTAAGAGTTCAGTACTTTGGTTTAATGAGTATTTAAGTAAAAGTAAACGAGTGTTTATCGGGCTTTGCATAAAGTTATCGTCACTGTTATATTATGCAGTTGATATATTTTATTCCAAAATTATTGTTTTTTTTTTTTCATTAATTTGCGATCAATCTAACATATAATTACCTATATACATCATAAATTTCGATTTGTACCTAGTACCTCTTTGACAAAACTAATGACACATTAACCATACACAATTAGGTTTACTAAACGTCAAAAACTTGAAACTCGTACACAGAAACATGTATAAAGTTGTCGAAAGTTCTCTTTAGAAAATGCTTGTAACAAAAACGCGACTGAAGGATGTAGGTCTCGACTCCCGTCAGTCGTTTGCGTCCAACCATTCCGCCCATCTGTTTGTATGTCTTGAGAATGACAAAAATAAAACGAAGAGGGGTTTGGGAACATTATCGAAGTGGATCGGCGGGGTGGCTTTCAGGCAAGGTCCCTAAGGATCGCGCCAAATGTATTCCATCCTGGTAGGAACTGTCGCTGGTCTGTTCTCTACTAAGTCGCTAAGGTATCGCCCACACGATTAAACAACCACCATTTTTCTTGATATTTCCTCCCTACTTTTATGACTAAGGGTACTTTACCTATGTGGTGACATCTTAAAGAATATCTAGACAATAAGACGTAAATTATATTAGTAATAGATCGGACGGGGTGCCGCAATTACTGATGCACTTACTAATTAATTACATACTCTTGTATTTCGTAGTGAATATCGCAAAAAAATAATGAGATATTCGACTTATGTACTTAATAAGCAACAGCTGTATACTGTTACTAAATAAATATTTACCAATTTCAATAACCAATACGTAACATATTTTTATAAGTATAATTTGACGAGGGAAACATTATATAAATGTAGCCAGTCTCGGTTTTGGGTTTGACGCCTACTAACACCAAAATTCCATTTAGCTAGCTAGGTGGATTGAATGCTATAAAGAATTTACAGTAGCCCTTTGACCCGGAGCATTAACGGACGTGGAACGACAGCATTAGCCAGTTGACAGATGTTGGCACCGAAATATTTCGAAGGGATCGGCAAGACCACTTGCATTTATACCCCTGGGGGTAACGAAATGTTTCCGCAATCAAATGATACTTTTTACCCTTGGCGAACACTTTGAGGTATAATTTAGTTGTAATATGTGTGACGGAGCAAAAGGGTTCTTATAATGTAGTTTATAAAACTAATTATTTAATATTGTTCTTCTTATGCATTCGTCCTACAAAGGCTATAAGTGTTGTTGAGATTGAGATTCAATTCAAATCCTTGGAGAAGAATGAGCAAGAAACTCCAAGTTTGTATGTAAAAGCATCCTAAAGTTCTATGTCACTCGTTGTCTAAAGAAAAATACTTGATATACAACGAATACTGTCTCTAGAACACCAACTATACTTAATACAAAAGAGACGTAAGACCGTCTGTTTCAAATGAGGGCCAATTACTTAAAGCAAAGCGGACCTAGAAAACTCTTAGTCTTTATCTTAAAGAAAAGTTTATGAAATAGTTCTAGATTGCGTTCAGTTAATTTAGTACAATAAGGATGGTACTATAATGAGGCTGCAAATTTAATTCAGTATTTTATGAGCTTCATCTTGTTCGTAGTAATCAAAATGACGAGAGACTGAAAGTGACTTAGTCGTGTTTTATACTTGAGTCACTGCTTTTACTACTTTATTGACATTTACTTTGAAATTAAACTCTTTCTACATAATTGTAGACTTTCCAAATTACTTCACAGTTTTAAAGTTCAACTCGGTAATAATAAAATCCAAGTTTCACTTTAATTTTCCAGTAAAAATTAAGTGCCCATGCAATTGTTTGTGTTTCATCAGAACTTCGAAAATTTTAAAATAATAATTTTTAATATTAAACACTAACTTCAATCAAGGCTCCTTAGTATTTCAAAATAAACGCCAAAGTTTGTAATATTGAAAATTCTTTATTCAAGTTGGGCGTGGCGGAGAGAGTGCTCTAATGAAAATTTTCTTCACTCGAAAGACATGGTAGATCGCTAAAAATCTTCATGCTTCATCTTATTAAAAATTTTCTTTAAAAAGGAAATTTTTATAGTATGCGAAATAATTAACGAATAATATCGAAGGACTCGGCATAGTTTCATAACATAACATAACATAACGCCTTTTTATCCCCGAAGGGGTAGGCAGAGGTGCACATTTCGGCACTTAATGCCACTGTACAATGTAACACCCACTTTTCACTATTTATGTTATGAGTCCCATGTAATAGGGGGTGAGCCTATTGCCATATACCGGGCACATTTTTCCAGACTCCGTGCTACTACTGAGATTTTTAAAAACCCAGTAATACTTTGCCCGACCCGGGAATCGAACCCGAGACCCCTTGCCCGGCAGTCGCACTAGCGACCACTCGGCCAATGAGGCAGTCAATGAGAGCATAGTTTCACTAACTATTATTATCTAGAAAGATAATTAAACTTTTGTATTACAAACTGAATAGATACTGTTTAATAGGGATCGACTAAAATTAAGTATGTTTAACTAACATACTTAATTTTAGTCGATAAAATATTTTTACACAATTGTTGTAACAGTGAACTTTTGATTTTATGCTATAAAATAACGATAACTAACAATATATTATTTTGTCTACAGGCAGTATGGGGAGATTGGCGCCACTGGTGATACGGTTGGCCACCGTGTCACTAGTGGCGTTTGTCCTTGCCGAACCTGGCAATGGCGGCGACCAGTCGGTTGCGAGAGCCGACCAGTCGGTGGCGAGAGTCGACCAGTTGGTGGCGAGAGTCGACCGGGACACTGCTCTACCAGCGCCCGGGACTGCTCCACCACCACCTCGCCGCGCTGGCAAACGCGAACGTAACCGTAAACGAACCACGACCACCACCACGACGGTAGATCCAGACAAACATGATGTCGGGAATGTGCCCACTACCGTCACCACGACGACAACCGCTGACCCAAGGACCCAGGACCATAGTAAGTACTCTTCTTAAGCTAAGAATGCCCTGTAAATTAACGTACGGTTGCATGACGTCTCAACCACGGCAGCTGACAATCATCACCACTTAACACAACAGTAAGTAACTCATTTCGGGGCTGAAGCTTATGGTGTGTCAACTGTGTTTGTGTGGAGCTGCTTGCAACCACCTCGCTTCACTCGCGCTGACTCAGCCACAGATGCTTCCACTGTTTTGATATCAAGTACATTCGCAAACACAACGAGTTTGAGAACTGAACCCTCGGTGATGGTGTAACAACAATAGTAAGTAGTAAGACTTAATATTAAGACGACGAGGAGAATTGGCGCTGATCATGGACAACGAGTTAATCAGGAACCTGGTGATTACCGTTACGGTATGAACTAATGAAAGGTAAAATGTTGGGAAAAATGTGTGGAATGAAAGCTGAGACCCTACCACACACATTTAGAAATCCCACTTTTACCACAGTAAGTACTTTAATTTTAGGCATGAAGCGTCAGCGTGCGACTGCGCCGGCGCCGTCCGGGCCGCAGCGCCGCTGGCCGGGGAAGCAGCACAAGCGTCGACGCCGCCGCACTACGACTACGACGACTACCACAGAATCAGTAGAGACGGAACCAACGACACTCTACAGACGACCACGATTGACCCAAGGACTATTGACCATAGTAAGTGCTTAAGTACAGCTGCTATAAACAAAATACGGAGCTCTGGCAGCCACGCCTTTGACTACTGACGATCCGGCCTAATTTGAACAGTAAGCAAAATTCAAAATTTATGCTACATGCTGTAGCAGGGGTAGTCACAGACGTAGTTAGTTTCAGACTGTCCGTCTGTTACTCACGTCATCACATCCACCATTCATCATCAGCTGTCATTGTAAACTCTCATCTGACACGATTTTTCACACATGACACAATATCGAGTCATTTCTTTGGTAGGTATAAACTGATATTACCACGTGTGTTGCTTTTGATTGAGTAGGAAGCAAGTGTTTATAGTTAGACGTGTGAGTGTGTTGGCTTTTATTGCATCGATTTTTACGCTGTTTTTGTGTGAAAATAGACTCGTAATATAATTTGGCATGTGGGATTCTCAAGAATTCATTAATAGCGAAAAATAAACAGAAAACTATGACAAGCAATCAAACAATGTTGCCTGTTTATTTTCTTCACGGTAATTAGGAAAAAAACGGCTACCTGGTCTCTATATAGGTCAGGGCCGCAGGAGATAAATCATAGAATAATTAGACGCTCGTTAGGCCGCACGTGACGGTTCATTAAATGATTAGCCACAGGACGCGTCATGGCAAATATTATGAGAGATTTTTCCCCTTTGAGCACCATGGTGATCGATTATTAGCAACATTATAGATGTTTCAAGGGATCACAGATAATAAGTGAATTATGTGATAGACTTTAAACAAAACCATATCCATAACGTTTATAAAAAAATCTATCAAAAACTTCAAGAAAAAATATTGTTATTATAAATGGACCCAGATTTCGTGCTACGTAGTTAGGCTATAAAAATATGAACACATACCTACACTTTAAGTTACTGTAACAAAAATGAAAAATTTAATTTTATTCTTAGTACATACAGCGAGCGCGTAAATAAAGCCACACATTAGTGCGTGTTCATTGTAATGACACGCATTAAGTAACATACCGAGTATACCAACACAAGTTTAACTGATCTTGAAAAGTCCTTAAGTGTGCGCTATAGCCGTCTTAAGTCGCATAGTTTAACGAGGGCCGGAGTCCAAGGGCCCGAGGAATTCCGCCATCGGAGACGTGGGTACATCCAAATAGCTTGTCTCTAAACAACGGAGGGATGTAATTTGTGAGTTACTCTGTTACTCTAACACTCGGGCCCGGTCATCGGAGGAATGTGCTCAGTTAACGCGGTATGTCAACCCCTCGCAGCACTTTAATTTTCAAAAAGTGCCTCTACGTGTAGTTATTTCAGGGAATTTATTTCACTTACACTACGTAGCACACGATTTAAATTACTGCTACGTGCTTTCCGAATCGAAGTTCTGTATCCCGTATTTTCAAACCCAATCAATTTCAACTGTAGTATTTTTGGAGAGAATAAAATATGTATGAACACCCAACATTTTCTAACGCGCTAAATATTCGTTCCGAAGAATTTTTCAACCGATCAATCTTGTAGTGGTCACTGGAATACCACTTATTGGCTTGTGGCCATACTTGCTCTTGCCAAAGCTTTATACAAAATCGGACGATTATTTAAAGCAAACTCCAGCACCGCTATGAAGGAAATAAAATATCAAATCCTTCCTGAATGTTTATAAACTTAAGGTGATTCCTATAAACTGAGCATAAATAAACTTTCTACATTTTCAAACAGAAATTGAAAGCTTGGGAACGAGGTGCAGCGAGAACCAGTCGAGAAAAACTCTAAGCTTGAGGCAAGAAAACATTTTGTTCCACTGTTGAGAGCGAAAGTAAAAACAGTACAGATCAGGTTATGTTGGTGAGTCCTGTCACCCTGCGGGAGGTGTGGGGAGTCATTTCACGCCTCTTGAGCGCGCATCAAACCAATATTAGGTTTATTAGATAGATGGGCCATCATGAAAAGCGATTTTTCATTTTTTGCCATTCATTATCGACTCTAAAGACAAGTTTAAGATAAAACTAGATTTGTAAGTTAGGATTTCATAAAATATCATCTGACTTATTTCAATAAAAATGCAACATTTATTTTGCACAATTCATAGTTGCAATTACAATATGAACATTGTAGTTTTTTTATTTAAAGGGGCCTACTTCTAAAGGAATTCCGAATTCAAGTGGAGTAACAGTAATTAGAAATTTATGCTTAAATAACAAACTTGTCAACAGCCAACTAACAAAATTACCATAGACAAAAGCCTCGTTTAAATTGTTAAATTGCTCATAATGTATACATTATATATAGGTACTTATCCGTACAGCTTTGATCTAATAAAATGCAGGTCCAGCAACATTTGTAAATAAATTTACTGCCACATGAATTGAGTTTGCCCAAAACATCAAATGCTGGTAAATTAATATTGGCCAGAGCATTTTATCAAAATACATCGGTCATTTAAACTCCACATTAAACAAGCTAATGTTTAGCAAATATTTGGACTGCTCGATAGAATTGTGAATTTATGGTAGTTACCAACTTAACAAGGAAGTATTATTTGAATTACCCGTCGACATCATTTTATATGATGTGGAACACTTGGCTCGATGCCATTTATCCTAAGAAAATCATATTCTTTCTTCTAATAGTCGTAGTTTTCTAGTTTTTTTGGTACAAAAATATTAACAATTCGTTTTTAAAAACAAAAATTATTATAATTAAAAAATAAGATGAAACTTATTAAATAAATTAATATCGAATAACAATTATTTGGAAATATAGAAATAAAATTATTACTGTTTTATTTTACCTGAAATTTTTATATCGAAGTAAATCACGAGAATACTGCTATCAATCCCGAATATGCTACGCGCTACGCCGCACCGTGCGTAGCGTTTGCTACGAAAGTTTGTGGTTCGTAGCCCACCGCTACGAAGTATTTCTAAGAAACAGTTTTTATAACTTAAGTTTTTCTACATTTATATATATTTTTACCTTCGCTATGAATTAGTTTAATATCATTGCAATATTTCGTTTTAATCCACTCTGCTTACATTGCGAGATTAATAAAATCCAATATTGTTTACCAGTGCCAACGGCAACTTTTCCTAAAATATTACCTCTCAGTGAAGTTATATCTTAACATGAACTGAAGGGTCCTTGTTTCCAACATGATTTTTATGTTTTTTGTGGATAACAGCGGTAGCGTGTTGGGCAACCGGCGTGAAAAGAGGGACCAGCCTTTTTCACGCTTTGGTACGGCATCTTACACGATGTAGTGTGTCAAAGTATGCCGCACGCTTGAGAAGGGGTTACTTTGTTTATGTCTACATATTTGGGCATTTCATTATGATTTGTGGGCATGTGTAGTTCACAAGTCATGTTGCATTTAATAGTCATTTTAGAAAACAATTCATTAAAACTAATTACGTAAGAACACTTAAAACAAACTGAACCCAAAGTACAAAATCGACATTTACAAATCAAACTTCAGTGAGAAAACACTAGAGAAAAAGTTTGTGGATACTAGTCGGTTACAACCGCTTCAAACCGGCTCAACAAAGAGCTGAAATTAAATTTACGTGGCGCAAAGAAAAAACTAGTTACAAGAGGAAATTGGCGGAGACAGTGACAAATTGTTCCCGCAAGAGAACGGTATTCCTCTCCTTTTCTGACACACATGACTTTAAATCTCCCATCCCTCTCTCACTATATGAACATGCGGCACCGTTACATGAATGTACCGGAATAATTGTGGCCTTTTTTGGTAAATACACAATGTGAACGTGGTCTTAGCATCCGATTTTAAACTGCAATTTTGAAAGTTCCTACCTTTTAATGGCCGGCAATAAAATTGTACGTGGACATTAAAACAGCAGCCTGTATAATGCCAGCAAAAAGTGTGTCAAATAAAGGTCGTATTCTCAATGGGAATACTTTCAGACTTTTTCTCAAATAAATATTTTATTACAAGTACAATATTAATGAATAAAGCGAAATACACATAATGGAGTCCATAGAATTGATACCATTAATCTCTTTATATGTTTTACTTAACTAAGTTCAATTTTAGCAGAACTGTAAAGGTGCACAATAAATGTAGGCTGATAGTTTTAAACCTACTTTTCATTGAAATGTCCTAATTACAGTCATAATACTCGAACATGTTAAACCAACGACTGCACTTGTTACGAGAGACCCCTGACGACATTTCTTATTTCCATTCAACGCATTCATTAGCCTACATACTTACTTCCCTATTTCGTATACCTATTATTTGAAAAGTCGTAAACACAATCTCAGTTATGGCTTCAGTATAGAATTTCAGAATAGAAAGGAGAAAAAGAATTTGACCGACATAAAATGTCTACATTTTCCGTGATAGAAAAAGTGTAAATTAAAAACGCTCCTTTATTACAATTGCAATTATAGCGTAAAAACTATTTTAATTCTTTAGATAAAATTGTTTTTAATTTTATTTAATATTATCCTTGTTTTATTGTCGCTAGTATACGTCACTTACTTTTTCTAACAAAAACAAGTACAGCAGTCGCTCAAATGATTGCGTGTTGTCGGTTCAAAATGGAACTGTCTGGAACATTCTAGTTCATGGTAGGTTATGTCCTAACCGCTATTTATGGCTGTCGTGTTTTTATGGTGGTTTGAAAGTATTTCCAAGCCGGTTAGTGGCTTAGTCATAAATAATGGCCGCTTTGAAAGACACTATTACTGTAGGCTTCGTTGAAAAAAGCAGTTTCTTAAAATGAAGATAAGAATCACTTCTAGGAATGAGGGTTCACATGAATGCTAGACAAAGGTGAAAGGTATAATATGTTGGTTTATATGTATACTTAATGCTAACAACTACTAACTTTGTAGCACAAACATCTTGCAGAGAAAAATGAACTTAATGAAAATAAAGTCATATTTGAAATTCAATGCACCTTCACGTGATTGGATTAGCTTCAAAAATGCATTGACTCCTCTGAACTCGACTAGAATTTTTATACGCCAACAAAAGGAACAATGT